ATCTGCAATTCCATACTTGTTCAATGAAAAACGCATATTTACTTCGTCAAAATATAGACATTTTCTCAAAATGTGACATATAATTGAAAAATCCCTTTGTCCATTAAACAGAATACGACATGACACAACAAGAAGTACTTTTTCAATAGTTTAGCTGTATCAATTATTTTGCATATTGAAGTAAACAAAGACATCTGAAAGTATTCAATCAAATTGAGAGATAGTATATAACATTGGTAACTTGAACTTTCTTATCATTAATCAAATTCGATTAAATGAAAGTATTGACAAACTGAACATAGTTGTATATGATTAATGTCAAAAAGACATGACTTCCATGAATAGCTGTATACTCGAAGATGTATCCATTGGAATGTAGATAAAAAGAAAAGTGATTATAACGAAGTTTGATAGTCAACTACTGAGATGAATGCACTTTTCCATGTTGAATATGTCTGATTCATAAACGTCGTCTAAAATTTTCAATTTAATATTAACCAATAAATTTTCTATGAATGATGTTGTATTTATTGACAGTTTTTGATCAAGTATTGATTTATTGTTGTTCTTGATATTTTCGATTCCATCAATCGACATCTTGAATAATGAATTCGTCAAAAACGGCAAGCACACATGATGATAATGATCGATGAATATGGTTGGATTTCACTAAATGTCATAACTAACATTCTTATTAATTAGCGAAGGTCATCGATGAAATAGTTCAATGAAGCATGCAAATATTCACTTCATAGACTTTCATCACTATCAATATGCTCATTTTGAATAATCGATTTAGATAAATTTCTACACAAAGTTTAGACGAATTCAAACCTCATACTCTTAATCAAGTCTTTTTCTTGCAAACTTAATTTTACACAAGATCGTCATTGAATGTTGTCATAAACAGAGGAAATATGTAAAATTGCACACTCTCTGTATTTGTACAATTCGAATAGGATATTGATCAAAAAGAAAGAGACAAGCCGCCATCGGCAATCAACCATCACTTTAATGTTATGAGCCTGAGGCATTACATTCGGTCCCACAAAACCACGGTTATTGATCAACTTGACACTCTTCAACGCTTTTTTCACTAAAAACTGAAAACGAAACTTCATTTTTTTAAGCTGCTGAGAGTTTCAGAAAATGATACTCTGTGTACTTGCTATTTTACAATTAGGCTTAACGATATTGGAAAATTGAGCTCATGAAAATGGAACTTCACATCTTTCTTAGAACAGAAGCTACGATGACTGAAATAGATCAATAAGAATATTGTTACGGTCAAAGATTTGCTCAATATATTTCTTCAAAACTCATACCTACGAAATAAATAAATAAATATTTTTTGAGATGAAATGATTTATCAATCGAATATTTTATTAATTTCCTTTCTGTTTGATATTTCAATCATCGATTCGATAAATCGAACTGTTCAATCTTTAGTCAATGTTTCATTCTGGAACAAAAAGATTAAAAACTGTATTTTCCAGTTAATCTTCTCAGATAATATCGATTGGCCGCTTGATCAAAGTATAGTTTTTGTTTAATTTCAATTCATTGTTTAAATTTGTATAAAAAGTTCATTGAAGATTGGCACGTGTAGTTTAAATAACTTGAATTAGGATGAGAAAAATCTTTAGTTAAACGATTTATTTAGATTTGGAAGATATTTGATGATAATCTTTTCATTCGAGAGATATAAATATGTGGAAAACGATAATTAACAAGTGATGGTATCTATATATGGTGATTCATGAATCAATCTTAAATCGATTAATGATATCTAAGATATTAAACGTATATATATATATATTAACTATGGTCTTGTGTGACTTTAAATGATTCACGGCAGAGTTTCAAACGTCCAGAAAAAAATTCGGCATGGCAACTAGGCAACTGAAAAGCAATACGTCGACTACTTCAATTCGTGCAATCACTCACTTTCTCTACCCAAGATTCATTCGAGTGGCAGTTTAGTATTTGCATTCACTTACGGCGAACATACAATTAATCATCTGTGTTATACATTTTGAACAAAATATCGTAAGAGAATTGTTAAATCCTCGGATGGCTCTCTATAGCTCGAGTACTCGTGGTTGAATGTGAATCGTTCTGGGCGAGAATAAAGGAAAGCATTGCATTGTTTTGTCTACGGTTGTAACCAATTTGTCTCACATTTAGATGTTTTTGATCCGATCTAAAAATAGGTTAGAAAATCATGATTCGCCTGATTCAGCAGCGATTATCAATATGGAATTTATCAGATGCTATGGTAAATTTCCAGAGCCATTACACTACCGACAGTCATTCTTCATTCTCTCTTGAAATCGTTTCTTTGTGAATTATCTGTTATTAGAGTAAGTCATTTTCTGCTTTATGTTTTACTTTTGTTTTGTTTTTATTTAAAGATGCTAAGTGTAGCCTTTTTTGTTTCTTTTTATTGTGTTTTATATATTACTCTAACAGATATACTTATGATTAGGTTATCTGTTCATTGAGGATCATTATGATCAGAGAATCAAACATAGCAAATAAATATGAAAAGAACAAGCATCTTTAAAACTACAAATGCCATCAAAAACAGAATTATTTAAAACAAAATAAAAATTAAGTAAAACAGAGTGTGAGGGAGAATGTGGAATGCAATTGAGTGAAACCAAGATCCATCATTTAAACAAACATCTATACCACACACTGACAGCCACATTCATACCCTGCTGGTTTGATACTCGAGTTCAGCTATTCTGTTATGATTTTCCTTTTCTTACAGTTGTATCCATTCTCAGTGCATTGTCATCTGAATCAGAGATAGAAGTTACTGAGAAGCATTAAGCGAAAGCTGTTTCCATTATATTGATCTAGTTGAGAAGTGATTTGATCATGAGTTTGATGGAATATTTCTAAGGTTTTCTGCTTGACTTCAAAAAGAACTAAGCTTGAAAACCGATGTATTGTCAATTACCATTCTGAGAAAGATACACGATATAATCACGGTGTCATTTTCATGGCGACAATTATATTCACACGGGTTTACATCATTTGGCTAGTACAATGTTATCAGTACAAGTTCTGGTGACAGATTAGCAATAAAGTATCAGAAAAGACAAGCAATCTTTTGTTTAGATCAATGTGGAATTACATTGACCCTATTCGTCTTCGATTGAAGATTTAGATGTGGATGATAATGTTTTTCACTTACAATCACTGATGTGTTTTCCCGTGAAAGTTTAAAAACCATGTAACTCTCATATTGGAAAAGTCTACTGTTCTCATGTTCATTTTTTTCCGCGAGGAGTGGAATATGATAGACAGCACATACGATGTGAATGAATACGTGTAGGTATCGTTTAATAATCTGGCTCATCAGTTTGGCACTGATCAAAAAACAAAATCTTTGTCGATTTAATTATTAAAAGAATGTTAATATCTTAAATTTGGAGCTAAGCAATTTCCCTCTAACGATGCGTTGCATTATACGGCAAAACGCGCTTATTGTTCTAAAGTTATTCAAAAATAACTCTTTTCAAGTATAACGTCGAAATATATCTGAACATATAGAGTGTATAGTGTTGCCTCGTATGTACCATCGTTTTTTGTTGCTTTTCGTGGCAGTGTGATTTTTGAAATTGAGAAAATTTGAACGAACTATGTCGCAGCAAAAAGCGCACGATGTAATAAATTGATGATGCAAGTCGAGTAGCGAGTGGCTCTTATCAGAATCGTTCTTCCAGCGCAAAATAAAAAAAAGGAACGAAGATAACTGCATACAATGAGGCATCAATAGAGCAAAGCATAGAATGAAATGGTATTCGTTTCAATTGGTCATTTTACCGCGAGGAAATGAACATCGAGGATTGTGCTCTGTCTGTCTACGGCTTGATGTCGTACGAATCTATTACTAAATGAATCGAAAACAAAATATGACACCAAATGAGCAAACCTTTTGCGAATACTTACAACAAATTGGCGATCAATTCAAAAACCTTTACCTTATTTATCATAACACTAGATTTTTTATCTAGTGCAAATAACAAAACTTCATCAACACGCAGCCTTCATACTCACAACTATAAAAACTACTAGCTGCTAGCGTTTGAATGCAAAGTAGCCCGATCTTTTTCAACCCTTCAAGTAACCGGTTTATAAATGCAATAAATGATGGATGAAGTGAAAGTAACACTCGACTCTAAAGGGAGACAAGTATTACATTGTCCCAAGAGCACAACTGTAAATGAAAAGCTTTGGACCTTCATAGAAGTACATAAGAAACAGATACGCGCCATATCACATTCACAAGCTCGTATTATTCAGAATTTTGTTCTCATTTGGTTAGATTCTAACGTTAAAAAATCCTGGACAAGATTGACAACACATTACTTCTCAGCTTGGATGCATTTTTACTACGATCAATGTATTTTCTGATGCAGACGAATGTGTAGATTTTCTGACGGAGATAGAATGCGAACAGGCTTTCATGGTTGTATCTAGTACTCTTGGCCGACAGCTCGTCCATCTCATCTATGAAATGCCTCAACTCAACTCTATTTATGTATTTTGTGACGACAAGAACAACCAGGAAAATTGGACACAAGACTTGACAAAAGTAAAAGGAGTATTTCTTCAAATGAAACCTCTTTGCAATTCACTCAAACAAGATACAAAACAGTGTGATCACAATTTGACTTCGATTAGTATTTTGTCTATAGATGATTGCTTGAAACAAGATTTGAATCAACTCGAACCATCATTTATGTATTCAAAAATACTCAAAGAGATTTTTCTTAACTTTGAACATAACAAACATGAAAACAAAGAATTCGTTCAATTTTTACGTGAGGAATACCATAATAATCAAGCTCAACTGAATAAGATCGACCAATTTGAACGAGATTACAAGTCTGATTCTGCTATCGAGTGGTACACTCGAGAATGTTTCATTTATAACATACTCAAATCGAGCTCTTCGAACAATGGATACTGATATAATAATTAACATGGGTTTTTTCTTAAGTGATCTTCATCAACAAATAGAACACTTATCTAATCAACAACCAATCACTGAAATTCCATTTACTGTATATCGTGGTCAAGGCATGAGCATTTATGAATTTGAAAAGTTGCGTCAAAGTATAGGTGGTCTGCTGTCATTCAATAACTTTTTATCGACCAGCATGAATAAAGACGTGTCATTGATGTTTTGTCCTACTTCATATTCAGATCCTGATATAATTCCAATTCTCTATGAAATGGAAATTGATCCAACTCAGAAATCTACTGCATTTGCATCACTGACCAATATGAGTCAATTTGATTCGGAAGAAGAAATTTTATTTTCGATGCATGCTGTATTTTGAATAATTCAAATTCAAGAAGTTAATAATAGATATTGGCAAGTAAAACTCGTATTGACTTCTGACGAAGATCTAGATCTCAAACGACTCACGGAAAGGATACAACAAGAGATATGCGCTTCTACAGAATGGGATCGACTGGGTAAATTACTGATAGTGATGGGAAATTACGATAAGGCTGAAGAAGTCTATCAAATACTTTTAGAAAAAGTACCCAAGAGCGATGAAAAGGGCTTCCTGCACGGTATCATCAACTTGGAATGGTGAGAAATCTTAAAGTTGATTATGCCACAGCACTCATGTTCTATCAAAAGACACTTAAAATTCAAGAAAAATTGCTTCCGTCTTATGATCCACAGCTGGCCACTCCTTATAGCAACATTGGATCATTGTACTGGAAGATGGGAGAGCACTCAAAAGCACTTGAGTTTTATCAACAAACATTGACAATCTTTCAAAAACATCTTCCTTCAAATCATAGTGATTTTGCTACAATCTACAACAATATGGGTTTACTAAACGAAACGATGGGAAGCTGTTCGAAAGCTCTAGAATTCTATAAAAAGTCGTTTGAAATTAAAGAAAAAACTTTACCTTTGAATCATCCAAGTTTGGCAATTACCTACAGAAATATTGGTTCCATGCATAACCAACTCAAAGAGTACTCGAAAGCACTGGAGTATTATTACAAAACTCTTTCGATCCAAGAAAAGTCTTTCCCTGTTAATTATTCAGATCTAGCTATCACTTATAATGACATAGCTACCGCTCACGGAAGTTTGGAAGAGTATTCGAAAGCGCTCGAGTATTATCGCAAAGCCATTTTAATCGGAGAGAATTCTCTTTCACCAAATCATCCAGATGTTGCTATCACCTACAATAACATCAGTTTAATATATCAAACTATGGAAGAATATTCGAAAGCACTTGAATTTCATTAAAAATCACTCAAAATCAAACAAAAACAACAACCTCCAGATCCATTAGGTTTGTCTACTACTTACACTAATATCGGATCGGTATACAACAGTATGAAAGAGTATACAAAAGCACTTGAATATTTTCAAAGAACATTGGAAATCTATCAAAAACATCTTCCTTCAATGCATACAGATTTGGCTACTCTCTATAGTAATATTGGTTTGGTGCGATGCAACATGAAAGAATACTCCCAACCACTTGAGTTCTACCCAAAATCACTTTTAATCTATGAGAAAGTTGCCTTGTTCGATTATAAAAAAATGGCAATAACCTACAACAATATTGCATTGGTGTATTGTCAGATGAAAGAATATTCAAAAGCAATTGAGTTCTATCAGAAATCACTTGACTTGAAACAAAAATCACTTCCATCTAATCATCCAAGCTTAGCTACTACCTACAGCGAGATTGGTACAATTTATGAACATACGGGAGAGTATCTGAAAGCACTCAATTGTTACGAACGTGCTGCAGAAATTTCACAATATTCATTACCTGACAGTGATGATGTCTTTCAGCTATATCAATAGCTTGTCACTGAAGTACGCAAAAAGTTGTAGATTGAATCTATCCTGTAATAAAAAATTCTATTTCGCTCTTATACATATATAAAAAGATACTTTTTATTGTCACGGTGTTCCTAGAGTGTGGGCGAGGGCGAGACCTCTTTTTTATCCACAGCCGACACTTCCACTCATGCCCACCCTTCACACAATACGAGTTCATATTCTTCAGCTAGGAGAGCACGTGAAACAACCCTTGAGAAAAAAAAACATAACCTTCTTTTTTAGCAATAGAAATTATGCCAGCTTAAAACCCATTGCAAGGACTATCAGAATATATATATAACTTGAAATCGAATTTTTTCCTCGAAAATTTGATTTTTCTGAGGAGAAGAGATCCTTAAAAGGAACAAATGTTAAGGTATATCAATAATGATAGCAATGATAATATGATTATTTTTAGGGATCATATAATACGATTCGTACAGCGTACTAATTAAATCAGCCATAAAATCTTTGCACATTCTATTAATCTCTGTTACTTTTGAGCAAATCTTTCCGAAATATACTTCTTTATTTCGAAGTCATCGACGTTAAGTTGCTTGCAAGACTCTCAAACAACTCATATTATTGATTTTCACTTTTGTCACTGAATAACGAAATTTTTTATTATTTAATGCGTTGCTTCCATATTTTCTGCGAACTTGAAATTAGATATTTGTTATGTTTTTTTTGTTACTTTTTTTTACTATTGGGAAACTTTGCAGAAACAACTTGTTTGTTTTGTTCAGAATGATTAAAGTCATAATAATTTGATCTCTCGATGACGAGGAAAACATCTTAAGAAAGTTGACTCGATTTGACTTATCCAACTCTGTGAAGTGATCAAGTCAAACTGCACCGCTATTCATACACTTTGGTTTGTCGGGCACATCTGATATGCGGTCTCTCTATTATAGAGAACAATATTCATCGATTCTCATTATATTCTTAATAAAAATGTTTAAGTCTAAATCAAACTGATGATAATGTCAAAGATATTTGTGAATAAGACATATTTGATTCATTTAGTTTGACTTTAAAACAAAAGAAAAAAATACGAACACTGTGGTAATTGTTTTATCTTTTCTAACCTTCGTATAAAAAGCTGAAAGTGAATACAATATGCTCTTTCTTTCCAATCCATGTCAACGACTACGTTTATTTCATTTGATTAATTGAGTTATCGACTTTGCCGTTTCTCTCGCGACTATAAAGGTTTTGATGTGGAATTTCACTGATGTGACAGACGTTGTTGACCAGCGAATAATGCGCTGATCGTTGCTCTTAATTCTCGATCGAGAAATATGGTTGCTGTTTCTTTAACAGTAACGGATAATGTGAAAAAAAATGAGACCCAGATAGTATAAAACGTTGTTGCTAACAATCAAATGCATCTGATATATAGATACTAAATAAGATCATTATATTACGAAGAAGATCAGCATCACGGTTTTGTCGTCTGAATGTTTCTATTGATCGTGTAAATGTACTATTGGTACTACGTTTTGCTTGACGAAAAAGATAGATATACAGAATAACAATACATAGTGTTGACACGAAGTAATACATCACCATTGTGTAATCAACATGGACAGTGATTTTTTTCCTGACCCAACAAAGTGTAGTCGGAACATAATAAATATCTTTAGTGACAATAGCAGGTAATGAAAGAAATATGACAGTGATCCATTGAGCAGCAATGAGAGTGACGATGTGTTTTTAATGAAGTTATCCATCGATATTTTGTACAGAGTACAGCGAAGAAATAACGTGATACCGCTTGAATCAAATGTGAATAAACAACAGCAGCAATCGCAATATAACCAAAGTAACCACGCCATCGACATGACATGTCACTGGTATCCCAAACGATAAAATCGAGAAAAACATAGTTATTCGATTGTAATACACAATAAAATGTTGACCGAAAACATGTATTACAAATCAACAAATAATTGACATCGAACAACCACGGAGTAATCTGTCAACTCTGCAGGTGCTTTCATTTCTTTTGAAATCAAATAAAAGAGCAAAGATATATATCAAAATTAATATATCGAGTTGTATATTAGTCTTACTTGTGTCGTTAACGGATATCATTTTGCCAATTGATCATGGTCTAAGGATATAAATGTCGAAAGAGACAGAAAGAAGTTGTTTTATTAAACAATATAGTATAAATGTTAGGGATAAATGAAGAGAATAATGTTCATGTATACTTTTTACATTGGTAAACTTTTGAGAGAGCCATAATACAAGAATAAATTTTAAAACTCTGTACTAGATATTTACTTTGAATATACTCTGTAATATAGAAGTGAAAACGAATTAACGCGTTTCGTTACTCTATAGATATTTTATTGTTCATACTTAGATACCCTAAACAGTTAATCAGTGTGGTCATTTTTCGTAGGGCGGTTTCCTACTGTGATCAGTTTGAATTTCAATAAGAATGTATTTAAATAAGCGAAGAGCCGATGTCTTACGTCAGCAGAAATATTTATATTTAAGAGTTTCATGTGAAAACAAATCGTAAACCTGATGAGCATGAAATATTCATGTTGTCATCCCGGAATTTGATTCTTTCATTTTGATGTTTGTTTTGTCTTTTGTTTATAACGAATGCTAAGTCCAGGAAAACGTTTTTGAGGTCTTTTGCATGTCAAGATAGATTAGAAATTATCCACTGGAAATATCATATCTAATTATTAAGCTTTTTACCTCTGTCGAAAAAGATGTTGGTTCCCTGTGAACTAATCAAGCTGAAACTTTCGACAGTAATAGAAGATTATAGAGTACATTCTTGTGTAAAATTTCAAACAATTAAAGTTTATCAGAAAAAAGTAAAAATGATTTCATTGTTCAAAAAGTAAGGTTTTATAAAATGGATTCTTCTCTCACAAGTTTTTAAATATTGAACTTTGAATGTTATTATTCAATAGAAAATTGCTGATTCTAGCGATTGAATCATTACTTTATTTAATTTCCGATCCCTAAGCTGAAATATTCAAAAACAGAGTAAAAGATTAAAAAGCATCGCATTTTCAAAATTCAAAACCAAAATGGTAAATCAATAGATGCAATTTTTCTTAGTCTTTCAAACGAGATCATTCTAAAAGCTATAGTTCGAAAATTGTGGGAGGAAAGTTTAAAATGCTGATAAAATAAGGTGACAAACAGAACGCCGTACAGGAAAAATATTGAGATTAGCTTGCCATGAGTTGCCAACTAACACGAATAGAATGAAGGTATGCATAAGTATGGGAGGCATAACTTTACCCTATATATTAGTGTGCTTCTCCATGAATAGCAACACCAGGAATAACTTATTTTTACAAGGAAAAACCTTTATAAAAGTCTTCAAAATGCAAGATTAAATCGAATAAATCATAGTACATTCGAAAGTAGACATTTTTTACTGTCCAATTTTAAATCGTTCAGACTCATATTCGATGCCAAAAAGTAGCATTATAGAAA